AGAATCTTAATTTCAAGAATCTCCAAACACAGCATGATGTTAGCAGCGTAAAAAAAAAACGCACTGACATTTTTAAAAAAAGAGAAAATCCTTAATTGCCAGACAGCTAGGTTAAAGTCAGAAGATAAATACCCATAGTAGAAGGGTACAATGTGAACTTGGGAGTTGACACCGTCAGAAACAACGTCATTTCCAAAAATTAACGCAGGAAAGTTAAATTTAGAATTTGTTCAGTCTAGAATTAATTTCAAGACTGTAAACAGTTCAAGATATTACGCGAATAAGAATTTAATGTGATATCCAAAGCAGTCAAGGATTTAACATTTAACTGTAAATAAGCAGTAGAAAAAGGAACCGTCAGAAATGGGAACGAATTCCTGTTAGTTAAGTTACTCTCTTATAGTCAGTATAATTTTTATCAGTTTCAAAGGGAAACTTAAGAAAGTGGACAAGAGTACAATGGGGTAGGTGAGATTTTTTCTCTCTTCCTCCACTTGGCCGGCCATGCATGAAAAAATAGAGCCAAACCTTTGGCTAGTGGAGTGTGCTAGAGGACTTTATGTTAAGGTGATGTGATGTTAGTGGTTGAAGGGGAATTAATGGCAAAGTTGCTTCTTCTTTTCTCCTTCCAAAACCGGCCAAGAAAGGGGGATTTGAACCAAAAATTTGGTTGAATGATGGAGTGGAATTGGTGTTAAAAAAAATAATTTCCAAGTGCCTATAAAAGGAACCAACATAGGATAAGCTTCATTTTTTTTCTCCTAGCTTTTTCCCCACTCAAAAATCCGGCCACACACTCTCCATTTCCTCTCAAATATTTTCTCCCACTCTCCAAAACTTGAGCCCCTAGCACACCATAGAAGAAGAAGAAGGAGATTAAGGGATTCTAGGAGGAGACTAGTCAAGCATTCCTCTAAGGGTAAAGAAACTCTAAATCCTCTCTTTTTCATGTTTTGGGAAAGTTTGAAATAGAGAAATATTCTTCTCAAATTTCCTTATACTCTTATAGTTTCAAGCCATTAACAATCCTAGAGGAGTTCAAGGGTTTTTCAAGAGAAAGAGAGAATTCTTCAAGGGTAAGTTCTTAAACTCCCCTCCATTAATTTCTAGCCAACTTTAAGCTTGGATTTATGGATGTAAATTTGTGGTTCTTGAAGAGATAAGATTGTAATAAGAGTGTGTGAGTTTTATGTTGGTTTTGTGAGTTTTGAGCTTAGTTTGATGTGGTATGTTTATGCTTAATCTAAGTTGCGTAGGTGCGGAGGAGAGGAAAAAGTTTCCGGGGACGTTGACCGCGAAAAGGAGGACCAG